CCAGGCACCCCTAAGGATATAATTATAAAAATAATTGTCAACTTCTGAGTCCCTACACTTAAATCGTGCCAGATATTATAAGTGTCATTTCTTTTTTCTTTTTTTAAGATTTTATTTATTTATTTGACAGAGAGAGAGAGACAGCGAGAGAGGGAACACAAGCAGGGGAAGTGGGAGAGGGAGAAGCAGGCTTCCTGCCGAGCAGGGAGCCCGATGCGGAACTCGATCCCAGGACCCTGAGATCATGACCTGAGCCGAAGGCAGATGCTCAACCGACTCAGCCACCCAGGTACCCCATAAGTGTCATTTCTAATCCCTATGATAACCCTTTGCAGTGGGCATTATTATCATTGCCCCCACCACCACCCCTTCCTTCTGTGGAGGAAACTGGGATGCAAAGAAGCGACTTTCCCCAAACCAGAGTAGCAGAGCAGAGATGAGAACTCTGACCCTCTGGTTCCAAGTCCCAGATTTACTCTTCTAAGTCATTTCCCCAAGTGGGAGGTGGTTTTAATGGTATGCACTTATTTGAGGCGCCTGGGCAGCTCAGTCGGTTGGGTATCCGACTCTTGATTTCGGCTCGGGTTGTGGTCTCAGGGTCATGGGATCAAGTCCTGCATTGGGCTCCACACTGGGAATGGGGCCTGCTTGAGATCCTCTCCCTCTCCCTCTCCCTCTGCCCCTACTCTACCTCCCCCTTGCACGCTCTCTCTCAAAAATTAAAAAAATTCAAAAAATTAAGGTATGCACTCATTTAACATTTGCCTTTTATTTATAGAAGTGATAGTGGTTTTCTATTTACAGAAGTGATATAAAATCTTCCTTTAAAATAAATTACATTTCAAAAACTAACACTGATTTAAAGAAAAATATAAGAAAGTAATCTCAGATATTTACAAGAATATGGCAAATGACACTGTGTTAAATACATCCATTTACTAGTAAGTCAAAGTGAAACAACTTGAAATAGTGATTTTTACTGATCGCCCCTTAAAGCTCACACAAAAGAGGCAGTACTCAAACCTCAATGTACAGGGTGAAGAAGGAGTTTACTGGCCTATTGGGCTTCCTCTTCTACACTCTTTGGGAAACTCCATCTATGTTAATGAAACACTCATAGGCCTGTGTAGGAGTTGTCTATTCTCAGTAAACTGAGTTTGTAGTCAGGAAATAGAGAGGTGTCTGCTTTGCATGTTATTCCCGTAAGGTCAGGATCTGTGCTTGTAATAGTGACAACCGGCTAATGTATACAATTAAGGCATGCAGATGGACTAAGGAAAGCAAGGGGGGAACCCCAGGAGCTGGTTTCCTTTTCCAGATATCTTATATAAACAGTACTCAAAGAATGACCCAAAAGTTGGTTTTTTAAGGTAGCATGGGACCAATGCTTTGAGGGCACATAGTTTCTGTAGAACTCCTGAAATGACATGATGCACAAATGTCCCCATTACCTCTAAAGGGTAACCTGTTCCGACCTCCAGGAGTAGCTGATGGACAAAAATATAAATTTCCAGAGTGACTTCCTGATTTTTTTCCACTTTTTGATTTTTAGAGAAACCTCTAACAATATCAAATCACCCCTAGCCAATATCATCTACGGAGATCATTAGCAAACGGCACGAGTATGGTTCCTGAACTCTAAGACCCACCCCCTCACATTTCAACGTTTCTGAAATTAGTTTGTACCTGGCACCTGACTGTACATTCAGTGTGGTCTTTTTTTTTTCCTTCTTCATTGCATCTTCCGCCTGATTTCCCCTTGGAATTGGGTTAATACAATGCTCACGTGTTTTAGTGGGAATTAGGAACAGTCATAATTTTAGAAGTGTGTCACCAAATATAAGCCTCTCTATATATTATTGGCTTTGAAGTCATTTCTTTTTTAAAACCATTAAACACTGAAACACGTTGTCGGGAAAATGCATTTGAACAAGGGACCAAGTGGTAGAAAGGAAAAAAAAAGAAAAATCATCAAAAGAATGCTACTGTGTCCCAAAGGTTAGAGTCACCTTACTATCAAGAGAGAAAGTTCAGAGCAAAGAAAACCAGATAATTCATAAACTGAAAATTCCAGTGCTCATTTATCTTTATTTTTAATAATTCCATTTGCGCGCATGTGTTAGATCACAAGGTCATGATGTTACTCTTCGTGCTGGCTTCTCATGTAAATTACAAATAAGTTTTTATGATAATGATTTATGGGGTTAGCTATTCATCTTCCCAACAAAGACTTACCTACAGAGAAACAATTATTCTGCCTCTCAGAAGGGATGTCATGAAAGGAATGGTTTCCAGATGCTTTGATTAAAAAAAGCTTAAAGAACATATGCAACATAAAATTCCAGTGCAGGCAAAACTCATCTTGTTAATAGTCAAAACAGTGGCTTTGGTGAGAAGGGAGGGGGCAATGATAGAGAAGGGGCCTCAAGGTCCCTTCTGGGGCAGGGAGGCTGACAATGTACTTTTTCCTGACCTGGCTGGTGATTACACAGGTGTGTTTACTTTGTGATAATTCACTGAGCTGTGCACCTATGAATTGTGCATTCTTCTGTATATGTGCTATGCTCCTCGAATGAAGAAGAAGTTTACAGAATAAATGTAAAAGATACAGGATTTCTTATAATATATTATTTGTTGCCCAGAAAAAAAGAGGGGGGATTTATTCTGCCTTCAGGTAAACTGCACTAGGGGCTTTAATATTACATTGATACATAGTAAATGTTGACCCTAGGAGCATTAATCTTGTTCTCCCAAGTCATTATCTGTTCTCTAGCATTATCAGAATAGAATATCTCTCTATATAAATAACAATTTCTGGTCATTCTCAAAGAATAACACTAAACGTGAAAATCAGAAATATCGATCTTGTGTTGGCATAAAGATGTTTCTACTGAAGTGAAATAGTTTCTGTAAAATTGTAGACTTGCTGTCCTAACACACATATCTGGTCCTGGAATTACCCTGTTCAGGAGACACACACAAGTGAAAATGACCTCTTTCAGTAAGCGGTTCCAACAGGATAGTTTTAGGGTATGGATGCTGGATTCCTCTATCTCAGGTTATCCAGGTTACTGAGGACTGAGACTCAATCTACCCTCCTCCTGCCCCCACCAGCAAACAGGGAGGACTCCATGAATGGGTGCAGCTTTGGACAGAGATGAGAAAAGGATGAAGCAAAAGAGGACTATGTCCCTGGGAACCAGTCGAAAATGGAAGCACTCAAAACATTTGTCCGAAATTCCAATGAACAATATGTGTGGGACATTAAACTGACATGCCAACTTTGTTTGCTCCATCACTGACTCTGGGTGGTGCCTGTTAACGAGCAAATGAAAGCATGGAGGCCCCAACATCTCTTCCCACTCCCAGGGTAGATTTAGGTCAGAGGGTAAGGGCTAGTATTCCTCATGAAGGCTTTTGCACTCTTGCTGAATAATGCCCCTGCAAAAGGTACATCCATGTCCAAATCTCTAGAAGCTATGAATGTCACTGTATTTGAGAAAAGTGTCTTTGCAGATGTAATTAAATTAAGGATCTTGAAATGAGGTTATCCTGTATTATGCAAGTGGACCCTAAATTCTTTGACAAATGTCCTAAAGACAGAAACAGAGAAGGCAGTGTGAGATTGGAGGGGCAGAGGTTGGAGTAATGTGGCCAGGAGCCAAGGGAGCAAAGGAATGCCAATAGCCATCCAAAGCTGGAAGAGGCAAGAAAGGATTGTCCCCTAGAGCCTTTGGAGAGAGTACAGCCCTGCCAACACCTTGACTTTGGGCTTCTGGCCTCCAGAACTGTGAGAAAATAAAGTTCCATTACTATAAGTCATCCAGTTTGTGGTAATTTGTTATAGCAGCCCTAGGAAACTAATACAACCCCCAAATATGCCCTTGGAGACACTTCATCAGGAAGCATGCAATTCCCTACTGGATGAAAAATACTCATCCTTTGGTAAATTGTAGGCATTTATTTTTTCTCTGGGTGGCAAGTGGTAGAATATCTCCCCAGGGGAACACAAGAGACAGAGTACACCAGAGACAAGTCATTGCCCCTGCTCTCCTCATACACAGACCCCTCTGACAGACAAGATAGACACTTGAACTTTTTTTATGTCTAAACTATTTCACTGAATGAATCATTCTAGAAGTCTGGTAGATTCAAATACCTTAAAGTAGATGATAACTAATTTCTGACTGGTGAAAGGAGCCTAACCATTCCTGGCAATTACCAACTAATGTCTTTCAACTCAGTTTTACTGAAAATATAACTAATTACCAGGAATTATGGTGCTGCCTTTGCCTTTCCTGTATCTGCATCATTCTTATCTCATTTATCTCAGGCACACCTCCAGTCACTGCCCCATTTCTTTGCTCACTCAGCTCACTCAGGTCCTTATCACTCACAGAAACCTCTGCATCTGCTGGGAACCTGGAAGGGTTCAGCCTTCTTCTCTCCTCTCTCCCTGCTTGACTGGGCCCATGCCTTTCCCAACCCCTCCTCAACACTACTACCAGTCCCACTCATCTCCCTTACCTGCATCCACAACCTAGAATCTTTCAAAAAGATACATAATCAGCAGGGAAATGCAAAGGCAAACAATGAGATATCACCTCACATCCATCAGAATAGCTACTATCCCCCCAGAAAAATAAAACAACCCCCCCAAAAAAAACAGAAAATAACAAGCATTGGCAAAAATACAGAGAATTTGGAACGTTTGTCTACTGTTTGTCAGAACGTACACGAGGCAGTCATCGTAGAAAATAGTTTGGCAGTTCCTCAAAAAAAAAAAAAATGGAAACAGAATTACCATATGATCCAGCCATTCCACTTCTGGTATATACCCAGGAGAGTTCAAAGCAGGGTCTCGGGCGCCTGGGTGGCTCAGCTGGTTGGGCGACTGCCTTCGGCTCAGGTCATGATCCTGGAGTCCCGGAATCGAGTCCCGCATCGGGCTCCCTGCTCGGCAGGGAGCCTGCTTCTCCCTCTGACCCTCTTCTCTCTCGTGCTATCTCTCATTCTCTCTCTCTCAAATAAATAAATAAAATCTTTGGAAAAAAAAAAGAAAGCAGGGTCTCAAGGAGATATTTGTACAGCCATGTTAATAGCAGCATTATTCACAGTAGCTCTAAGGTGGAAACAACACAAGTGTCCATCAATGGACGAATGGATACACAAAATGTGGTTTATACATACAATGGAGTACTATTCGATCTTCCAAAGGAAAGAAATTGCACATGCTACAACATACATGAACCTTAGAGACATGAGGCTAAGTAAAATAAGCCAGTCATAAAAAGACAAATACTTTAAGTGGTATCTAGAGTAATGAAATTAATAGAAACAGAAAGTCAAATGGTGGTTGCCAGAGCTGGGAAGAAGAGGAAGTGGGAAGTTGTGGTTTATTGGGTACAGAACTGCAGTTTTACAAGATGAAAAGATCCTGGAGATTGGCTGCACAACAATGTGAACAGACTTAATGATACTGTTATATACACTTAACAAAGGTAAATTTTGTTATGGATATTTTACCACAATAAAAAATAAAAATTAAGAAAGATATAAAATATTCCAAATACCTGGAAAAGCACAGAGAATAATACAACCACCTACTTAAAGCTCTTCTCCTGCTCTCTGTACCCCTAGCCCCTCCGTCTCCCAAAGTTGGTATGCATCTGGGCCATGCATTATTCTTCTACTTTTACTTTTTATCTACCCCCTAGCAATATGTAGTGTTAACCTGATATATCTCAAAAATACAATGTTGCATGGAGAACAGCAAGTTGCAAAATACTATTAACATACATTTTAAAGGCACACAAACACAAAAGGCAACTTTGAGAAGAAGTGACTGTCTTCACACCTATAGACTAGACTCTGCTAAAGTGAACTGTTCTCAGATTTAACTTCTAAAACAAAACTGAAATAATCTGCCTGCTTCTTGGTGAGCAGTGTCTGTAACCTCACACTTGAGGTCCTATTTGTGTTCCCTTGGCTCCTTGGTCAGATTGCTCACTGGATGCCCCTCCCATTCAGCCTGGCTAAGACCTTAGTCTTCCCAGTTGTGGCTTCACCTCCTGGCCTGGGCAACACAGTCATGGACAGCTTATCATAGATTCGATACCTAGCCCCGGGATCTTCCTGCCTGTGTGTTCACAGCCACAGATGCCCCAATACCTGGCATACCAGAGCATAATGGACAGGCCCCGGAGACTGCAGGGATTAACAGATAATTTTGAAAATATGCATTTTTATCTTAGGTTTATGTTAAAACATAGCTGTATGCATTATAAAAATACATGAACAATTCAACTATCAAAGAATCTAATAAAACACAAAAACTGAGACACAAAGCTGAGTATGTGGGCCCTTTTTGTGTCAAGAAACTAGCAAGTTATCTGGTCATAAACATTATTTTACTTTTCATATTCATCTTCAACACAGTCAATGTGTGACTTGGATTACCCACTCCTGGTGATGGAAAGATTATTTCACTTTTGTATAGACTAGATCTTCAGTTTTTAATGAAGGCTTCATAGTCAAGTAATCTTACCTAAAAATCAGCAGAAAGCCAGAATGATATGTGACAAGCTTAAATGTCTTTGCTCTTTACTTTTCTGCATTAGGAAAGCAATTTTTACAAGGCACTACAGTGCACTCTGTATATAGTCATTTTTGGTTTTTAATTGAATGCAATGGCATTGCTAAGCAGAAGCAAGGCAGATTGTGGTTTTGCATGTGTCCAACAAATACATCATTTTCTTATCAGGTGTCCTTATTTCCCTTACATATATCTCAAAAATGGAGTTCACTGTCTTCTGAAAATATAAAGACCTTTGACTTTTTAACCTTATGCCTGGATCAAAACTCTACTCCAACACTTTAGTAATGGGCCCTGAGCAAATTGCTTCACTTCTCTGAGGCTCAATTAGTCACAGGTCTAACGAGGTTAATAAAACCCACCTGACTTGGACTGACCAGATGAGAGGTAACACACTCGAAGCACCTAACACAGTGCCAGGCATAACATAGTTATTATGACCAAGGTGTAACAGAACTCTTTTTAAATCACTTCATGAAAATCAAATAAAGGTTAAGGATAAACTCAAAGAATCTATTAATTTGGTTTTTGTTACTTTTGTGTTTGTTCATTGGTTTGTTCCTGTTGTTGCTGATGTGATCGGTTGTTCTCTAGATTAACCAAATCAATCTACTGGGTTGGCTATTAACGTGGTCATGGCCATTTACAATTAATCCATATTTACGGTATAGGGATAGAAAAATTTTCCCTTCTTCCCTCTAAGTTCTTTGGCTGGTCTAATAATTAAATTGACATAAGACAGATTAACAGAACAAAAAGAAATTTCATTTTGTATGTATAGGAGCCACAAAGATATGAGACTCAAGGGCAAATCGGGCAGTTGAGGCTTATATGCCATCCTGAGCTGAGAGATCAGATAGGGGCCTGAGACTTCAAAAGGGAGAAAGGTAATTCACAGAACAGTAAGAAGAGCAGATGTTTGGTAATTAGATGTTTGCCCTGCCATACAGATAGGTTATTCAGATAAAAATCTCACTCTGGTAATAACTCTCTTTCTGGGCCAGGCCCCCCTTAAATTCTTTTAGATAGCTGAGGAAGAGGTCAAAGTTTTTCTTAGGTCTGCTGGGTCTTGACTGACTTCAGCTCAAGATAATCCATATGCCAAAGTGGCATATTTTGGGGTAGCAAAACTGGCTCCCCTTCAAAGAATAACTACTGGGGGCACCTGGGTGGCTCAGTCATTAAAGCATCTGCCTTCAGCTCGGGTCGTGATCCCAGGGTCCTGGAATCGAGCCCCACATCGGGCTCCCTGCTCGGCAGGAAACTTGCTTCTCCCTCTCCCACTCTCCCTGCTGTGTTCCCTCTCTTGCTGTGACTCTCTCTGTCAGATGAATAAATAAAATCGTTTAAAACAAAAACAAACAAAGAAACAAAGAACTACTGGATGACTTTCTAGGAAAAAAAAGATGGAAGTTGGATCCCCAATTCACACTATACACCAGGATAAACTCCACATGGATCAAACATTTAAAACAAAACATGAAAGAACTATAAGAAATTGGAGAATTTTTTTATAAACTTAGAGAGGGAAGGCCTTTCCAACTATGACTCACAATTTAGGTGTCATAAAACAAACAAAAAAATATCAACCAATACAGCTACACAAAAATAAGACTAAGAAAAAAAACTATGTGTCAAAATCAAAAACCAAATAAAATACTAGGAAGTTAATTACAACTAATTCTATAGACAAAGGGCTAATCTCTACAGGATGCAGTAAGTTGCTAGAAATTAAAAAAAAAAAACACCAAAAATCCAATAGAAAAAATGGGCAAAGTATAAAACGGGGGGGGGGGGGAAGGAAATACAAATGATCCTGAAACATATAAAAAGATTTCAATTGTGATCGCAATAAAAGCAATGCAACAATATACCACACTAAGTTACAATATTTCACCTAGCACATCTTCAAACATCCAAGTTTGATTAAACGTCTGGTTGGCAAATTTGTGGGAAATATGGGCTCTTCATTCACTACTGGGGGAGTAAAATAATATAACACCTATGGAGGGAAATTTGGGGATATATTTAAAAACTATAATTGGATTTATCCTAGCAATCCTGCTTCTGGGAATTTATCTAAGGGTATACCTGTGCACTCAGAAAATCACGTGTTATTCATTACAAAATTGTTTGTAATAGCATCAACCAGGAAGCAATTCACATGTCCATCTAAAGGTGACTGGTTATATAACTATAGTTCAGCCACAGAATGGAATGTTCTGCAGCTCTTACAAAAGAACTAGGAAGACCTCTACACACTGACAAAGAAGAACAGATGGTTGAATGAAAAAAATACAAAACTGGCCACAGAGTATGAGAATCTTATCTAAGAAAGAAAGGTAATATGGATACATATTTGTATTTTCCTGAATTTTCATAAAGAGATACCAGATAGACACAAAAAATAAATAGAAGAAAGTGGTTTCCTACAAAGGGCAGGAGGAATATAGTGGATGGAGCTAGACTTGCCAGTGTATTAATTTTAGTATCATTTGGATTTTTTAACATGTGAATGCATTATCTATTCATAAAATTAACTTCGATTTATTGATTGATTACCTGCTATGTAGAAAGCCTGGTGTTCAGCACTACAGTAACACTTTCAAACTAGCTACAATGAATATTTATAAGCATCTATGTGCTAGACATGATGCGTTGCACTCGCTGGTAGGAGGTGGGGGAGGAAGAGAATTCATGCTTTACAAGTTATATTGGAGTAAGGGTCCCATCTCTGATTCTGCTTTCCCTCAGGGCCTACCATGAATATGATCTTAGGTGAGACAAAATACACACGGATAAAAAGATAACTATCAACAGTGCAGAACAGTGCTAACTAAATACCAAAGGAAAAATGTTCTAGATCAGACCAGGGAAACCCCATTGGCCAAACTGGTCCAGAAAGGCTTCAGAGAAAGCAGAACTTGAAATGTGTCTTGGGTATCATATAAATTAAGTTTTTTTCACAGAAGTTCTTCTGTAGAAAAAGCTTTTTTCAGAACCGTCCTGATTCTGATTTTTCAGAAGTGGGGATGGGGTGTGTGAGGAGATAAGAAGCACACGCCCCATCATTTCTACTCAACTTTCAAAAAGTGAAGAACACTGCAAAATTAGTTCTTCCTGGTCATCTTAGTCCTTCCTCAAAACAGAATTAGTACACGGAATTAAGAGTTGGATTGAAACTCAAAATTTAAAAAGTCTCACTTCTTCATTTTATTCCTTTCCAATTTAAAATTTTACATCATCCCAGGAAACTTTTCTCTCTGACAGCTTTCACAGACATTTTCTCTGCATAGGTTGGCCAGAATCAAGAGAGGAATTGTAAGTTTCTGTTCCTGTCCTACACTTACAAAGGGGTTTCACTTTGTAAATGCTCTTCCAGCTGCCACAATTAAAAGAGGGAACACAACCTTGAAGGAGTCATTTGTCAACTCTCAGGATTGTACT